TTCTTCTATTTGATGCTCATTCAACTTTCAATCTTTAAATTAATTCCTTTTAATTGAACCATTGATTACATTAATTTAGTCTTTTAAAATTTTAATTATATCTATAATATTTTAATTTTTATGAATTGATTTGAATTAGATCATTAAATTTATTTTTTTCAATTAGATCCTTAATTGAATCAACAAAACTCATTACAAGTTTAATTAAGTCCTTAAATAAGTCAATTAAACCCATTAGAAGTTTAATTAAGTTCTAAAAATTAATTAATTCTTTTAATTTTAGTCAAATTTGTATTTCAACCTCAATTTTCTATCTATTAAGTCTTTTTTCATCCTATGTTATCAAAATATCTCAATCTAACTATTCTTCTAGCTTTTTGACATATTGCAGTTTAAAGACTTATCTCTTTTTGTTTCAAAAATATTTTTGAATTTTGAATTTATGATTTTTGAATAAAAAATTATTTTTTATAAAATGATTTTTGAAATTTAAAATTGAGTTACGAGACTAATACAAATTAAACTCTTCCTTTATCAATATAATTTAAATCTTAATTTAATCTTGTGATTTATGGTTAGTTATGTAATTGAAAACTCTTGTTTTGAATAGAATTAAGCTTTTTGATTTTTTATGTATGTTTAACATTTTATAATCAATCATCTTTTCTTGGTTGATCATGAACTCTTTCAAACTTTATCCATTTCAGCTTTCTTCTTTTATTTTGTGATTTTATGAACAATAATTATTATTTTTTTTATCAATGAACAATAATTTTTTTAGTCCTCACCATCCATACCTACAATGCCGAACCAGCACCAACAAAGCCCCTTCATCCCTTCTCTACCATACTTTTCTAACCCCGTGCAAATCAAAATATCATTCCCTCTATTTTTTTTAGTCATTATTGATAGCCATTATCACTCTCCCTCAGTAATTATGAGGACTTACTTTTCATGTTTTTGTTTCTTCTTTTTGTTTGTTAGGATGCATTGCATGCCTTTTGTTTTTGCCCATTTATTTATTGAATTAAAGCCATCCCAAAAGAGATAAAAAATCATTTCTTAAAAACCAATTTTGTGTTTTTGAGAAAAATGTTATTTTAGCTTTGATTGATGCGTTTTTTTTCCTTATTTCACTGCAAATCAGAAGAATGCATAAATAAGGAGCTTTTTTTACCCTTCGTTAAAAGAATTAACAAAGCAATATGATTAAGAATGTTTGAAACTGTCATACATTTGATGGTGAGTGTTCTTGTATTTATATACATTTGGTTGTGTAATGTATTACACAAACATAATTATGAGCAAGAGAAAAGGACCCGATTTTCTCCTCCTCAGGCCATGAAATCCACCCTTTATTTATAGGCAGTGGAAAAGAGCAATCTTGTCTATATAAGAAAAAAATTTCAACCTTTGATTCTGTTGGGAAGGACCCCAACTATTGACTCAAAACGTGTATCGTGAGCTGTTAAATCTGCAAAAAAAAGCTATATGAGTTGACTTGTTTAGGTCAATGCCGGCGTCGTCTCGTTGCCATTCAAACTAAAATGTTTAGTTAGGGTTGTAAAGTAACTGCAGGAGATCAATTTCATGCATGTATTGTCAAATTTTATAGACATTAGATGCATTAGATGCATTTTCAAAGTAAGTGATTGGACCAGCTTGTTTGATGGAAGCATGTTTCAGTTGCATATTGTATTTGTTATGGCACTTGAGAATTTTTCTGCAAGGTTATTTTATTTATTTTCTTTGTTATTTTGATTAATTAATGACACGTGTATTACAGGTCAACGTTCCTAAAACAAAGAAGACCTACTACAAGAACAAGGAGTGCAAAAAACACACCTTGCACAAGGTCACTCAGTACAAAAAGGGGAAGGATAACTTTGTTACTCAAAGGAAACGTCTTTATGATTGCAAGCAATCTAGTTATGGAGGTTAGACAAAGCTAGTGTTTCTTAAGAAGGTTTGTTTTCTTATTCCTTGTATAAACTTGGTATAAAAGACCCTCGAG